CCCAGTTTTTATTAAATAATTATCTAAATCTTACAACCAAAGTTTTTATCTGACGTAAAATGTATAGAAATCATACATATACCAACAAGACTGTACATCACTGTCACAACAGGGTTTGTTTCAGTCAAAGTCTTTATGGCTTTACTACCTGGTGGGTCGGTCTGTAGTAAAAATGCCCAATTTTTTTGTCCCAGTCCAGCCCTGCAGGTTAATACTGGCAGTGTCACCATGCCAGCTGACTGTATTTTATCATCAGCCAGTGTTGTTCTTTATCAATATTACCAAAGTTTACGATAAGGCAGCATAGAAAGTATTTACTTGCTTTCAGGTTTCATTCAAATGTTAGTCTTTTCAGTTGTTTCCCCACTTTTTCCTGTTTCAAAATCAAACACCAGTTTGTGAGAAGATTATCTTCTTTTTTTAACAGGCAGATAAAGTTTTGCATTGGCATTGGCTAATTTGTCAATTGTTTGTTACAAATGTTCGTATTTTAATTTTCAAAATGTTTTTGCCCAAAACATATGTGCACTATATGTCAGTAAAAATACTATGCAAATATTGCTGTCCTTGACTGCTGAGTAAACACTGACAAAGCACTGATTGTATCTCTTGTACTTTATCAACGCAGTATCTAAAAACTTTGCACCGTAGTGGTTAAAATCTCATTCTAATAAGAGTTAAAAGTGCATTTGGTTATTAGGTTTATAGGATTATTGAATTATGGTTAAGGGTTGGTAGAATTTTTTTTTAAAACATTATCTGCCAATTAAATCTGCCACCCTTCTCCAAATCTGTGCCCTACCTGGCCCCCCAACAAAAATTTTCTAGACACGCCACTGGCTATGGTAGTTCAGATAGGACTACTGGGAATGAAATTTGAGAAATTATATATGAACAAAACCTCACAAACTTTGATAACCATATAAAAACACTCTATACCGCTCTTTTTTTTTTTCATGGCTCAGCACAGGTCACTTGAGACAAACAAAAAGAACCAATGAAATGAATGTTTCAGCTGAAACTGTTATTCAAGCTACTTTACCTGCTCCATGTAAAATTTGCACTTGGATTGGCTTCTGTCACACACTCAAATGAGTCCTCAGATTTTGCTCTGATGTTCACTTCTGTGGGAGAGACTGCAAGAGCAGAAAGACAGCTGTGTTAATCCTGAACTGAGGACACAGTAATAACATGAAAATAATGTTTCGCCAATGTTTCCTACATCTTGAATCCAAACTCGACAAACTTTTGGGACTGAGGCTGATGTTGTGTGGTTCAGGCCATGATTCAGTCTTTAGCAATAACAATGGTCTTTTTTTTAATCAGTCTAGATGTTTTTGTCTTTCAGAAAGAATTTTCCCATCTATTGTGACAACATGCTACAATGTGACAAACAGGAGGCAAAGTCATGAGATTTGGGATGTTTCACTCCCATTCATTTAAAAAAACAAAAAAGCACACACTCGAGAATAAAGAGGAAAAACAAAACAAAGTATCTGGATAGGACTTGATCCTCTTTCCAGTAACAAACATTTAGGTCCACTTTCTTAGTTTTAGTCATTTCCTTGAGGGTTTTGTCAAACATCAAAGTAAACTGCCTCTGTTTTATTTAATTATGTAAGGAGTCGAACCAAAGTTTGGTACATGGAATGTTTTGTCTTTACTACACATAAAGCTTTTAGCGTTTTCAGAATTCAGCAACAGATTATATCTATCAGTCCCTTAGTAGTGTCCTAGGTATTCTGTCTGTTATAAATAAACTGTACAACTGTTTCACTAACAGAGTCCTGCGCTTGAGTCTGTTCATGCATTGCGACTGATGCGTCCACTGGCTAATTTTCAGAGATTTCCAAGAAAAAATATAACAAATGCATCAACCATGGATAAAAAAAATAAATAAATAAACTACATCAGCAACTGATACTCACAGTAGATCTGTATAGTGAAGGGCAGACTTTCAACTTTAGACAGGAAGTCACCACTGATGACACACTGGACCTGGTGACCGTTAATCTCTCTCATAGGAACACCAAACAGAGAGCTGACTGTGGTAGTCGTGCCATTGTCATACTGTGTGGAATTTGTTGTCGTCCTCACTTTGTCTCCCAAAGCACCAGTGAGCCACCTCACCTCTGCAGGAGGCTTCGATCCAGCAGCCGTGCAGGTAGCAAATAAACCTCTTCTGTGCCCAAAGTGGGAAGATTGTCCTTGATGCTTGTGAAAGGAGGCACTAGGAGAGTTACAGCACTAATTTAAATGAACATGCAAGACAGATGGTAACAATAACTGTTTCTCACATACAAACACAAGAGTATTTTAAAATAAAGATAAACAAAAGTTTAGTATACCAAGCAAGTTTAGAGGTATTTCTGTCTTCTGATTTCCACTGGGAAACAAGGTGAAGATGCACGTGTAGCTGCCTTCATCCTTCAGGGCAACATTGGATAACTGGAGAGTTGCATTTTTGTCATTAAAATTCCCAATATATTTAAATCGATCATCACGTTCACTGACAAACTGTGGTCCATCTCTGGGTAGGATAGTTAGAAAATTGTCATTGTGAGGTTTTTCTCTCGTCCTCCTCTGCCAGGTAATCTGTGTCAGGTCATCATTGGTATCCATGACATAACACGATAACATAGCGGTACCTCCTTGAACCACTTTCACATTTCCACCAATCACCCGGAGAGCTGTAAAGAGCATTCACACAAAAATTTAATGAATAATGTATGTGTGTGTGTGTGTGTTGGGGTGGGGGTGGGGGGTTAAGGGTGGTGTCTGAGAGGCAGATGTGCAAAATAAGGACAATCATGGATAATACCTCCCTCCCATTATGAATGAAATGTGCTCTATTTGGAAGCAGCCCTCCCCTGTCGACAGGTTGTGTGTGAAACTTTAAATCATCAAACTGTAAATTATAAATTTTAAATTGTTATTGATCCCTTTACTCCGAGTCCTAAAGTGAATATTTATTTTCTTACTCTTCTTATATTTATTGTTTGTTTATTTGCACTGGTGTAACTGAAGCCTCGTCGTCTCGTCTCTCTATATACTGGACTGTATGTAGCGGAGATGACAATAAAGTTTACTTTGACTGCAGCAGCAAGAAGGCGCACCGAGGGCTCTCGCGCTCACTTTTCGCGTATAGAATTTCGAAAAAAAAACATCGGTGCAAATTATAAGTCTGTATCATGATGTCTGGTGTTTTCGTGTTTGTTGTTTTGTTTTTATTTTGTTTTATTTTGCGAGTTGGTTATTAGATGCTGCTCCAGTCAGCCAGAGAATCCCCGTCCTCTCCTCCCTGTGTCGCAAGCAGCGGGCGCGCCTCGCAAACGGAGGGCGCCCTTATTCCCAGCAAATGGCCGTAAGAACACCGATCAGTGTCTATGCCATCCTCAAAATGCGCTGGCATGATGTCGGGGCAGTGTACGAGCAACTTTTTTGCCGATGCCCGTGATGCCGCCCTGGGCAACCGTCCGTCTCGCCCATATCAAAACAGTTACTGATGAGTACTTAGCCAGGAGTGGGTTATAAAAACAAAACACGACTCTCAATCCTACACTTTTACATTTTTTAAAAACATTTTTAAAACATAATAATTTACAATTGATGTTTAGCGTAGAAACTCGAAGTGATCACCTACAGTGAAGAAATTAAATACCAAAACGAAGGTGATCGCGGGCAGCTCACTAAAAAAAAGGGGTTTTCTTCTTATTTAAAATAAGAGATGTAAGACGTTTTCTATTCTACCTTCGACCAAAGCAACAGCAATAAAGGATAATCCACGTACCTTCAGCGTCTGTACTCATCAGAAGCACTATCATCAGAAGCATACGTGTCATGGAGTCACATCGTAAAGGGAAACGGTGGCAGTAATTGGCACAAAAGAAGGCAGCTTCATCCATCCGCAAATCTTAAAGTTATAAGAACGTTCCAAAGTCTGGGGAAAAAAACGTTGTTAGGTCGGTAAACGAAATACATATTCGTGTAAACCAGAGGCGGAGCCAGGGGCTTAGCCAAAAGAGTAGTATGCATGTGGGATTTATTTTTTTTTTGGGGGGGGGGGCTAGAAATGACTGAAAGATTAATTGGCTCTGTTTTGACTTTTGCTCAAAAATATATATATATCACATGTGCAGGACACCTTAAACTAGTTTTTTTAATTAAGCAGCAAGGCAGAACAAGGTCAGGGCTGTATCAAGACATGAGGACTAAACCCCAATTCAACCAGACCCAGAACTGATCCAGAATTAAAACAGGACTACAACAGTTCAAAGTCAGGACTACTTGGGATTTAACCAAGACAGAACCAGAATCAGAACTAGATGATACTAGCACTAAAAATCATCATAGACCTGCACTACACTTATTTTTTTTAATTCTACCAAAGTACACTATTTAGACTGACACGCCACTGTACACAGATGGTCTGAATTTGTGAAGCGAGTGGTATCGCATTTATCGAAGTCGGCTCCTCGTTGTTTTTTCTAAGCCACGATTAGGCTCATTGAGAGCAGGCATGTGCATGCAGACAGTGTTTGTTTTTACATCTGGTGGGTAACGTCCCTCCCTATATTTTTGGAACAGTACCTCTGAAGCTTGATTTAGATTTCTGCAGGAAATTTACGTTCTAACTTCAGATGTAACACCTCTTAACACTAAACCGGTCCATCATGCTGTTGTTTCCAGTTACAGCGTATATTTCCTGCTGAAGCATATTTCAGGCATAAGACAGAAACATTACAAAAATATACACCTGCAGGCCACTCTATTGTCTTTATTTGACTAAATGCACTAAATTGCTGCCACAAGCTTTTGAACACATGTACCTAATAAAGTGGCTGGTGAGTGTCCTCAGTCCCAGCTCGGATACAGATGTGTCGGTGTGTCTTTGTTCCCTGCAGTAGTGCCCTCTCCAGCTCAGTCATCATCCACATACCCCAGGACACTGTCCGAGCCAAAGAGATCATCGCCTACGTCAACACGCTGAAGACTCAGGTCAGCTATTACGCAGAGAGGCTGTCTCAAGCTGCCAAAGACCAATCGGCCAGCGGACTGGAGTGGACGCTCGCCAGTCTGGTTGACAAGGTACTAAAAGTGTTTGACGTTACGTGGGACGCTTCATATTTCATTCATACCCTCTTCCTTTAAGACCCGTCAGCTGGTGGCAGTGTGCGGCTGCAAGCTGCTAGCTTCAGCTATTTAGGCCCTGAACGCAGTACGAGTACATCGCAACCAAAGCTTCTCCTTCCGCTGAGTCTGAACAAGTAGTGCTCCGCAATGACAAGGATACGCTGAGAGCAAAGTACAGCGGTCACAACAGCCAGTCGTCACTGCACGTGGACTGGCACGAAGAGGAGTGGGTGAGTTGATCAGCAGTTATTGGCTGTTTTCTGATTCCAGATTTTTTATTTCTTTAGCATGACAACAGACAAGCTTAGTTTCTTGGCACACATTGTGGATACAGCTTGATATCTTAACTACACTCTGAACTCTGTTTTTCTTTTCTTGTTGCTTCTTCTTCTTCTTGAGTCATCCCTCTCATGTTGATTTCCAGCTCAGGTCACTCCTTACTTTTAAGAAGTTGGAGGATTCGTAGCAGATTTTTCCTTCACCATATCAGCCGACTTTATTCTATGAGAAAATACTCTTAAATGACTCGTCTTTAAAAAGTGTTCAGTGTTTTATGTCTGGTCTGTGTGTCATCTTTGTCTTTACAATGTTGCAGCAATACTTTAGTAATGATATGATATGATATGATATGATATGATATGATATGATATGATATGATATGATATACCTTTATTAGTCCCACAAGGGGAAATTTAAATGTTGGTTTAGTGTAAGCTCAGCTTTTTAACTAATGTAAGAAGTGTTATGACTGACTCGTTTTTAATACCTAAATCTGGCCTCAGTGCACAAACCTAAATGAATCGGTACATATGAAAGCGCCCAAGTCACGAGCTGTGTTCAAGGACATGGATAAAACAAAAAGGTTCAAATTTGTGCCCAAAAACCCCACAAATCAGTGTCACTGTTTTAAAATCTGCTGCGAGACCGCTCTAAATGTCAGCTTTTTCTTTACGTAAAGACTGGGGTCTGTAACATATCAGCTCGTTTCTTATTTATTAAAGAACATGCCTGACACCAGGCTTTTGAGTTAACGGCTCCATTCGATCTCTGCAAGTATTTTTAAGTATTTTTAGGTTCTTTCCAGCAGGATTTGTGGCTAGTTCTGGAGCTTGACCCTAAAAGATTTCAGTGTGTCGGTGCTTCTGCTTTCCCTGTTGTCCTTCTCTTCCGTCTTTATTTCTGTTTCTGTCAAATTTAAAAACAACTGCACTCTGAAATACACACTCTTTGCAAGATGTTGTCTAAACTAGTGGTTGGAAGGCATATTTGTGTTTGGTCTCTGATGGTTTATTTACACTTTTTGCAGGCCACGCCCACGGACTACAGCGCCATGATGAGCAACAAAGCCAAGAAGTCTATTGACTTCCTTCTGATGCAGGACACCGCCCCGACGATAGCCACGGACGTGTCACTGCAGTACCGCCTCGACATCGTCTTCTGCCAAACGGTCACCTACACATATTTTAATTATTGTATGTCTGAGCTGATGCGTTTATCCTGGAGTGACTCAGAGTGAAGGAGAAGGCCAAGAAGAAGTGTAAATATCATAGAAGCAAGGAGTTCAGAGCTCTACGACTTAGTGTCTTTATGGTATTTATGTGTGTAATGGAGACCAGGGGTTCCATTACCCTTACTTGTATTTTTATTAATTGACTGACTGATTTGTATTTAAAAACCGTAATGAAGAAAAACACACACTGGTTGATTGTGATTCTTTATTAGGCTTTTTGGGTTGTTATTTAAGTGACTCGTTAAAGGTGAAGAGACAGGGGGACTGGCCATCCTACCTGTGTCAGGAAAAGAACCTGTGTTAGAGCTGTTCACATTTAATCATTTGTCTGTAACCTAAATTAGTTGTATATGTAAAAAGAGAAGTGTTAACAGTACTCACTTTGTAAAGAGTAAAAGCAGCTCAATCACCTGCTTATGAGCTCCTGGAGAAAACCAATGTGCCAGGCTAGGGGAGTGTGTTTGGAGTGATTTGTTAAAAGTTGTCATTATTGTGCTTGGACCTTGTCTTGAACTGTATGTTCAGATATTTTCTGTTCCTCCCCCACATGTAGGATGTTGGGGATGTTACTAGCTATAGTTTTCAACTGCAGGCACAATCTATGTAAGATTCTGGTTTCCTTATTTGGTAAGGAATGTTCACTTCCTGCCCTTTATGGGCTCACCATGTAAATGGTGGACTGTTAGAGAGGTTAAGCCATATACGAGGTTGAGGGGAGATGACCCTTTTATGACTAGAGATGCGGTTAAAACGTTTGTAAGCAGGAAGTCACGTATACAGACACACATACACTCTCTCTCACTCACACACACACACACACCACACACACACACACACACACACACACACACAGTGCCTTAGCTTTTACCACACAACATATGGGGTTTACAATGGACGGTTGTGTAACTGTTTTCATTCAATAAAAGGCTGGAGTTGGAGTTGTCTGAGTTTGGGTGTAGAGCTTGCAACTCTGAGAATCCGACCAGGCTTCCCCTGCACAAGTAAAAACCAATCGAACTCTGATTGTCTTACTTTGTTCTGAGTCAGCGAGGGCTGAAACCTAACTGTGTGGTTAAGGTGTTTTAATGCAGCGGTCCCCAACCGCCGGGCCACGGACCGTCGTTTGGTCGAGAGATGAGGCTCGGGTGTGAAATGTATGGTTTTCAGAGTTTTTATCGTTTTTTATCGTTATTTTGTTATCGTTTTTATCGTTAACTCTGTTTTCCTGGGTCTTTCACGTGTGTTATGAATAAATCTTCTTTTTTTCCGGTATCGGTACTAGTTTTATTTTGTTGTATTTATCTGTGACACCTTAAAGGCCGGTCCGTGAAAATATTGTCGGGCATAAACCGGTCCGTGGCGCAAAAAAGGTTGGGGACCGCTGTTTTAATGTATATAGAAGAGACTGAAGTTTATATGTTATGGAGTTATTTATAGGACTTGTTACAAATCTTCATATGTCTATGATGTGTTATATCAGCCCGTTCTCACTCCCGAGGCGTAACATGTCGACGTTTTGTCACGTCCCGCGGCGTTCCTGAGGAACGTGAAAGGAGACCTTCGGCGTTCTTATGGTACGCGGCGGGCTATGGCTGGAATCCAGTGCAATGACGCTCCCGCGGTAATAGACGTTCCAGCCCTGTATTCCAGCCCTAAACCTAACCTTATCCCTAGCCCTGACCATAACCTTATTCCTGACCTTATCCAGGACTTTAATGATGTTAAATAGCGTGTTTCTAAGCGATTTGAAGAAAAAGAGCAAACATGTGTAGATTCAGTCCAGACAGTTCTCATATTTCCTCTTTTTTCCGAGGTCATCATTTAGGAACGTGGTGGGTAGCCGAAAATGTAATATGGTGACGATTTGTCACCTAGCGTAAAATGTTACGCTTTGGGAGTGAGAACGTGTTGGTTATATTGTAGTGGTTTTCTTATGGGGAGGGTTTTGTTTCCTTTGGTTTGCTGACCCCAGACTTGGTCTATTCCAGATGCTCACCTGAATCAGGTAGAGTATAACAGGAAGCCATTTGCTTTTCAGAAGGGTTGGATTCTTTGCTGTATCACCATGTGTTCTCATTAATAAAGTACATTTTACTCCAGTCTCGTGCTATTTTAGTGGAAGTGACCCATGACCGTCGGCCAAAACTGACAATATGACTATTAAAAGTCTGAGTAATACTGTAATTTTCTGCTGCTCATTCCTGTGCAATATCCCATCTGACCTCCCGTCATATTTCTTTTCAAGATTTTCTTATTTAATCACTAGTGTACATATATTTATAGATACATATATATATATATATATTTTAGTCATCTTTTCTCTTTTACCACGTCTCTCTAATATTTTGCTCTTTACTATTTTTCTATTTTTTATTTTATTTTATTATATTTTATTATATTTTCTTCTACTGTACCATGCTGCTGAGTGACTGCTGCTCGTCAAACACATTTCATTGCAATGTTGACCCTGTGCTAACTTGCATATGACAAATAAAACTGAAAACTGATAAAACTGAAAACAGTAAAGGCAAAGGGAACACATCAAGTAAGGATTTCACACTCCCACTCACAACGGCACTTTCAAAGCATAAAGCCAAATGCTTCAAAATTTCATTTTGAGGCATTTTAAAAATGAATGTGTTTGAGTTTCATTGCTCCAAAGTAATGTTTTCATATAAGCAAGATAACCAGTTTGCAACCATGTAAGTACAGTCCTCTATTGTGAACAGACGTGTTGGCAATCTGTCTGCGTTTATAAATTAGACAACAGTTATTTGCAGATCTTCATCAATCTGCCTGAGAGTGATTGCAGTCAGTCTGAGTTGGACTGCAACTGTTTTGAGTCAGGTTGCCTCCAAGGAGGCAGTTTATTATTTTCCTTTCCTAGTTGGACAGATGGCTGTTGTTTTGTTTTTACTGTAGTGTGCTGGGCCATTAATGGCTCAGGGGCTGCAGCGTATCCGCGCCAACACCTAAGGCCAACGTGGAATCACCGGTCAGACTAACATAAAGAAAGAATCTGTTAAATTACACATTTGTATTCATTAAGTCACAGACAATGAAAACAAGCAGAAATCAAGATGTAATATTTTTATAATTTTATTGATGTTAAATTAAAGTCCCAGCTTAGTTATGTTATCAGTGCAAGTCACTTCAATCTGTATAGCACCAAAGGAAACAATGGTGTTTTCAAGGTGCTTCACACTGTAAGGTAACAACTTACAGTATTAAAAAGAAAACCCCAAAAGAACAAACCCCTCTGAGCAAGCACGAGGCGACAGTGGGAAGGAAAAACTCCCTTTTAAGAGGAAGAAACCTTCGACAGAACCAGGCTCAGGGCGGGGTGGCCATCTGCCGCGACCATTCCTGGGGATTTCAAAAATGACTTGATCTGATCTAAATGTAAAACTAGCTCATTTAAAGTGTCCAGTGAGTTTTAGAAAATATTTTGCTGTTGATATCACGATGTCACTATAAAGTGGAAACTTTGTTTCTTCCCTTACACCTCCCAAAAAATGCCCGCACCGATGAGAAGCACTTAGATATGCAACTTGGTTCTGTGAATATCTTTCTTTTGAAAGTTTTAACAATATCTTCATCAAGATCTTGGAAGTTTAATTGCCAGAATGTCACCAAAGATGCATGCTTCCATCTTTTACAGAGGGATTTGAAAACCCTCTCGCTGAGTTTCTTGAACTTCTCTGGTGGGATTTTGTCGTATCTGGCCCTGATTTCAGTCCAGATTTTCATGGTAAGCCGGTTGGAGATAGCTTCAGCACTTTCAATGCTGAAGACTGTGCCTGATTTTTTTGAAACCTGGGAAATCAGTCCTTCCACAAAGATTTCCACTGAAAATCTGCATCTTTCTTTCTTTCATATGATTCCAGTCTATCAGTAACTGTTACTGCCAACAGGTGTTCTTGGAATACTGAAGTAGTTATGATATTAAATATTGGTTGTTCCATTAAATTCATTGAATCCTCCTCCCCACTCCTCCCCATTTTCAATGATATTAGTGACAATTTATGTAATTTGTCACAAATATCAGTGAAAATCGCATTAGCAATGCAGTCAAAATAATTCTGCACTTTTCGGTCTAAATGCAAATCCATCCCCTTGAATTTGTCCAAGAGTAGATCCAACAAACGTTTTTGGTGAGAATGAGGGCACTTTAAAAGTTTACCAAGCTTTGAAAGCACAGCCTGAATTAATGTCTCTAACCATCTTTCAAAGTCTGTTTTTTCAGGTGGCTCACAGTCTACAGAAGATCTGTGATGCTGTATCTTTTTATATGACTCCGTTTGACTTACGTTTGTTAACGGTGGGATGCTGGCTTCATGTTCAACACAGGATTTCTGCTGCTGGGGATCTGGAATTGGATTGTTTTCTGCTTTTGCAGCACTGTGTTGGTCAGCATTTTGACAGCTTTCTTCTGTGTTAGCTGTTTCTTGGCTGTTAGCATCTATATTCTGTGCTGTATCAAACTCCTGCTCAGCAGAATCGTCCAAAAATTTCACACGTGACAAAACCGTTTTGCCAGTAGTGGTGTGGACAGAACAGTTTTCATGTACAGGGGACTTCTGGGAAGACCTCAGTGGTGATACTGCTACTGACTGTGCACACAGGTCCATTACGTCCTCTACAAAACCTACAAGCCGCTTAGCGGTGAAGCAATCCGGATAGCCTGAGATAAGCTCTCCCCACTGCTTGATCGAAAAACTACTGAACAAGTTATTCAAGAGGGATACCAAAGCATGTACTGTAGAATTATCCCCATTGGTCTGAACTGTTTCATCATTTGTCATTGTGTTACAGTTCGAGCTTGCCATTTCACTTTTTTGTTTTTTATGTCTAAAATGTTGTTTTGTGTTAAACTCCGTGTTTGAACGTTTAAAGCGCTGCTGTCCCGCTGTGTGAATGCGTTTCAACTGAACAGCCAGGTCTATATATAAGGTCGGTTTAAGGTTTCTTTGTAACGTCACCTGACGTTTCTTTGTAACGTCACCTGACGTTTCTTTGTAACGTCACCAGTCAAAGGACTGGCCCGCCCCGTCATAACGAAAGGGGCGGGACAAATCTGTTGCTTAGCAACTGAAAAAAAGGCACACCGCGCTGAATGCTACATCCGGCCTGCGACGGTACACCGCCTCCGCACCACCGTTTAAACATGAAGTGTGGATGTTAGAAGATCCCAAATATGGTGAGCTACTGGGAAATTACTCACGTTTTTGTTCTTGAGAGTGAGCGATAATAAGCGACATTTTATTGAGAAATTACAGTAGTCTGTCTACAAAAACTACAAAAATGACCTAAATAAGACAGAAGTACACATTCATTTTTATCGTTTTGTCAACAACAGGGCGCATGAGGTTTGTTCAGTATTTGTTGTGTCTACAAGGCTCAGGCGCCCCATGAAGTGTCTTATTTGTATAGTTGAAAGCATTATAAAGGAACGCAAAACTAAATTACATATAATTATAATTCTTGGCACTTTCTGGTGTGTGTGAGTTAGTGTTTCTCTTTTATGATTTGTGGGTCCAGCATCAAATTCAGAATCCTTCCCATCACACATGAGGTCTTGAATAATCATCTTATTTTAAAGACCTTGTAGTTTGATAGTTTGCTCTCAGACTGTGGGCTTCCTTGTGGTTTTTAGGATATTTAGAAGTAGAAGGGGATCATCCTTCTGTGGAACCAGCTCCCAGTTTGAATGCAGGAGACGGACACTATCTCTACTTTTAAGATTAAGTTTCAAAGTTACCTTTTTGCCAACGCATATAGCTAGGGCTGAATCAGGTGACCATGAATCCTCCCTTAGTTACCCTGGGACTACCCTGCTGGGGATTCCCACCATGTGTTTATACACCTCTCTGCATTCAATAATTAGTTCTTGTTCATCTCTGGCTCTCGTCCACAGTGTGTCTTTTGTCCCTTTTTCGTCTCCTCATCCCCAAAGGGTCGCAGCGGGCTGCCCTCTCTGACCGTGGTTCTGCCAGAGGGTGCTTCCTGTTTAAAAGTGAGTTGTTCCTTCCCACTGTATTGAGGTTTTTTCTTTTTAATTGTAGACTTTCTACCTTACAATCTATACCACCTCGAGGAGACTGTTGTTGTGATTCAGCTCTGCATAAATACAATTAAATCGAATTAAGTGGGTTCAGCTGTTTTGTGAAATAAATGTGAGTGACATGGTAAGTAATAGCCTGCATGTAACTCATGGTAAGAAGAGCAATATCGCCCCCTCCTGGTTCAACCTTTTTTTCTTTGCAGTAATCTTTCCAATAATAATACATATGCACTAACCTCATGCTTGCTGTTAACAATAGCCTAAAGACACAAAATCAAGTTTAGTTTTTTCCTTAAGTTTATGTTTTTTTTTATATGGTTGGCATTTATTTTGTTTCTTTTTAATAATTAAATTGATTCTATTGATTGTTTGCCAAGCACTGAGGTCTCTGCTTAGACTGTGCTACTGGGATCACTGATTTAAAAATGAGGCAAAAGCACCAAAGTTGTGCTCAAAAATAGTACAGTGAGCTACAACCTGTTGCTGTAGTAATTCTAACACACTTATTGTTTTTAAATACATACATGTTTAGTTCTTTTAAACCTAATTATATATATATTTTTTTTTGCAAAAGTGTCACCTAAACACCCAAATATACGTAATTCAAAACTTACTTTAATTATTACCCATTTGGCTGGTAACATGGACCCAGTCTGATGGATAGTTACTGAACAGATAGTCTTTTCTTTAAAGGCTGCATTCAGAGCAAATCATTGTAAAAACAAGACAAGTCAATAAAAACAAGTAATAACTATAATACTAAACTACAATAGAGAGAAAATCCAGTAAATATAATTATATTATGTAAAAAATATACAAATATTTACCTCTAATTTAAAAAGACATTACAAGGGTACTAGTTTCATTTTAATCTCAACATAATCTAAATTGACACTAAATCAGTTTAAATATTACAGCTGAAGGTGATTTTAATAAATGTACTGCTGCTTGACTTTGTTTTACTACTGCAGTATAATTTATCATGTACAAAAGCTCCAAATGTTGTTTCTCTGATTAATGTTCTGATGACGTTTGTGTTACTTTGCAGGAAATAGTCAGGACCCAGATGAACCTGTGCTGGAATTCAGTGTGGGTGAGTAATATGAGCATTTATGAAGGCTGTCCATGACCTGTAATTAAATTTAGCGTCATTAGTGCCACTCATTGCAAGTGACAGTGCACATGCTTTCAGCATGGAGTCTGCTCTTATGGTAGCAAAATAATTCAGAAAATCTCCATCAAAAAGCAGCTCAGCAGCAGAAATATATATGGTCAGCTGGTTGTGAGTTAATGAGCATGTGAAATCAGTGTGAACATTTTGAAACAACAACTCTCCAACCTCGTAATTGTAAGACTGCCTGTGCAGCCACAGGAGCCTTCAGAGAGTCTTCCTGCTTGTCTCTTGGGTTGATTTGCTCGTGTTTTCTCACCCAGTCAATGACTGTAAAAGGGCTGGACTAATTGGAGGCAGGTGTAATTGATTGCACTGATATGCTAGTCTACTTATAGCCCACATTACAAACACTGCTGTGTTATTTTGTCTCTCAGTGCAGGTATGTAATGTGACAAACCTCTAATGATCTGATATGTTTGGGATGGATGGGCTGTGAATTATATAGTGAATTGTCTTATTTTGTCGCTCTGTGCAGGCTTTCTACTTACAGGGTGGTGGGTCTCAGAGGACAATTGCTACCCCTGTTGAAGTGAACAACGTGTGGAGTGCAACTGGCTTTGTGGCATAGCTGGCTCTGGCCTTGGACTGTGTGTTTTTACTTTGTACCTAAATGGGACACTGGACTTTTAACTACTATTCATTGTGTTTATAAATAAAATTTTAGAATTTATTGACTGTCATCTTTTTGCCCCACGGTTGGTCAGACCTAGAATCTCTTGTGTGGTGTGTGTGTGTGTGTGTGTACATCAACAGGGTTTTGCATAAAAGAGTGTGAGCAGGTCAAAGGTCAATTCATTTATTGTAGTTTTATGGCAGCACCCTCTAGTGGCCTTGAAGCAAACAGTCTCCTAACTAAGCCATGGCATCTCTGGTCTCTCCTACTTTTGTGTGCTCTGCTGGAGGAGCAGCATTGGATCTAGTGATACTGAGTAAGCTGATTAGGACAGGCCTGGAGAAATGTGGTTTGCATGAAGTATCAGGAAAAAACAACCTTGTATTGTAAAATAATAATACACGAATAATAAATACTTTTCATGACATTCAGATTTCTGGACTCACGAGTTCATAGAACATTAATGTTACGAAACATTGAGAAGTCTTAAAACTACATTGTATACTTATTATTTACTTTAATCAGATTTGACTGGTATTTTTAAACATTACGTTTTTGTTCCTTCAACTATTGTATTTAAGCTTATGACTCACTCACAGTATGTTTATATAACTGCCTAAAAAACGGTGAGGATGTGGCCGCAGTGGCTGAGAAGCAAGAACTTTGCTTTGTCTTTTTTTTTTTTTTTTCTTTTTTTTTTTTTAAATTGGGAAGCATAAATGAACATACCAGAAAACCCTGCACGAAGGAGCCATATTTGTTTTTTGTGTGTGCATAAGATGAAGCTTTAGTATTATTACACATATGATAAGGATGTTAGCATGCAACACACAAACTCAAGTGGTGTTGCCAAGATAGTTGCTGACTGGCAAGAAACTTCTAGAAGAAATCTGGTGACAGTCCAAAGCACAAATGAACATGTTTAATACTCGTGCAAGACCCTGTGGGAAGGTGCCAGATTGCTGTATTTTGTGTGAATCAGGAAAAGTGCACGGTGATGACTAAAGCTTATAAAACATCTCTCTCCTTATGTGTGCATATATGAGAAAGAAAATTCTGCCAAAGCAACTTTAGCTTCTTGCAAGCATCAGTACACAAAGGATGCTAACACAAAGCTAGCCAAGAACCAAGAGTGATTTTAAAGTTGAACGTATGCCGACCCCAGCAGCCAAGGGAGCTCCGGGGAGAGCTTCTTGGGGTCCAGTGATGTGTCCTGAAGAGACGACATGAGCTCTCCCTCCTGTAGGCCCACCCCAGCAGTAGGTGCTGTCTGTCTCATTCCGAGTTAACTGCTACTCCTCTACATCTAAACGAGCCAGTTGAGGAGGTTCAGGCATCTGACAAGGGTGCCTCTTGAATGCCTCCTGGGTGAGATGTTCCAGGCATGTCCCACCAGGACAGACAGGACACACCCAGGACATGTTGGGGAGATCACAGCACTCAGCAGAGAATGCCTCAGTGTCCCCCAAATAATGGAGGAGCTGGCTCGGGAGAGTAAGGTCTGGGTCTTCTCTGCTTATGCTACTGCCACCGAAACTGGACACCAGATAAGCTCAGAAAAATGAACAACCTGTTTAAATAAAGGTTAATTTAAAAAAAATGTTTGTCATTAGCTAGTCTGTGTACATGTACTTCTTCTCCAGTGTTGAAAATGTTAAACTCACAACCTGCACATTTTCTGGTTGCATCATCAAATAAATACCCCAAAAGTAGTCTGAGTACTTTTACACTGGTTTTATGCTGCGATATTTTCAAAGTCTTTCACTGAACACATTCAGTCACACATTGTTCATAATTTATTGAAGTTTATTGTTTAATGTCCTGTCTAAATAACTTCAGTCACCATTTGTATTCATTAATGAATAACTGACTTCCAATATTAAAAGAAATAGAAACTGTTGTGCTGTTGTTCAGTAGAAGGGCCTGCTGCTGGATGTCCAGACTTTGTGCGTCAGCAGGAGGGTCAGGGTACAGGGTTCGAACCTCCTCATGAGATGTCGTATCTGCTGGATAAAGCAAGCTACATCACATCAGGATTGTCCTAGAGCTGCCTACAGTAACAATCAACTGACTAATATATGAAATACTTGCAGTAGCACAATAATAAACACAAAGCAAAAAAGTGTTTAGTGAAGATAAAAAAACCTCATCAAAGTTTTAGTTTGGATAAAGGGAGACAGAGCACCAATCTAAACAAGTCTAAACCATCTGGCACCTCCACACTTGTAAGAACAGCATGACCAAAGTGATTGTAGAGGAAACAACCTTGACTTCCTTTACATAGCTTAGTACTGAGAATAAAAGAAAAGCATGATTAGAATTATTTGTGCTTCTTCTTCTTTCGGCTGCTCCCTTTAGAGGTCGCTACAGTGGATCATCCGCCTCCATCTCTCTATTTCTAGCATCCTCCTCAGTCACACCAACCCCTGCATGTCCACCTTCACTACATCCACAAATCCTTTCTGTGGTTGTCTGAAAAACATCATCCACGGAGACTCTTGCCTGATCTCATCTGTCAGCCTCTCCATCACCAGTGCAAACAAGAAGGGGCTCAGAGCCTCTCTCTGATGTAATCTCAACCCATCACATACTTCTCTGCCCTCAGGACTTTCTTATGCAGCACCACAGTTACTCTCTTCGCACCTTATCATAGCCTTCACTCCTACCCTCTCTATGCCTCCCGTCTCCATCCTCTTCAGAGTTGCCTCACTTCCTTCTCTAATTCAATTTTCGTCCAAAGTACTCCTTCTCCCTTCTCACACACTTTCTTCACATTAGCACATTCCATCTCTATACTTGGTTACTCTCTTCCAGCACAATTTATGTGCCTTGCCATTCATTAAAATCATTTTCTCCTTAGTGTCCAGCCTCACATACAACTCACTACAAGCCTTTTCCTGTGCCAGTGACACCGCTCTCTTTGCTGTGCACCTAGCCTTTTAGTACTCTTCCTTCAGCTCCCTGACTATCCCACTCTTTCTTTGCCAGTCTCTTCCTTGAATACATTCCTGAATCTGTTATTATTTGTGCAATGAAATTAAATCAAGAAAGATTTTGCTTTTACAGTCTCACTGCAGGTTGATACATTATAAGCACGCCTGTGGTTCACATAAGCATTAAAGCTTGTATTACTCCCTGATGTTTTGCCTGTTAGCATGTGCAGCAGCTGGAGAAGGACTCCTAGCTGAAGACAGGACAGCTCTCGATGTGCAGATTGGTCGTCTTCTACGAAGAAGCAAAGGAGAAAAACCCCAAATTAAACAGAACAACTACTTCTAATAACAAACAGACGTCTCTCTAAAACCGTGGCAGCAGTTCACCATGTCAAATGCTTTCTTGTCGTGCACAGTGACTATAACAATCAGCCCCACTGGCTGCACTGTCCTGCAGTGACATAAGTTAATTCAGCATTGCTATAAACAATGAGGCTATACGTTGACCTGTACTTGCAGAATACATTCCAAAGCTTTTGTTTCCTAAAGCATTCGTCCTTCTTTGTGAGCAGTTTGTGACAAAAGAAAAGCCCAGAAACAGGCACCAGTTCAAAGGCATTTCTCAGATGATTTGCTGTAAACTTGAATACAAGCACAGATGAATAAATGTCTTGTAAAACATTGTACTGAATACATTCTTCACTACGAATATCAAATTAAGATCACACGTTAACAGCCCAGAGTTAGTATCGTGTCTTTGCCTCACCACATCTGGGGGTTAACTGGGTTAAATTCAACATAGCAGCGTCTCTAAATGACTGATTCTAAGCCTGGCACAAAAGATAGAAATCCCTGTTGTTCTGGCATCTTATGCCTGCACACATTACCCTGCTGTTCAGTGGTGCCTGACTGCAATACCTGTTTACCAGATTGTAGTGGGTCTCGTGTGAATCTGTGCAACCCATCTGAACCTCCAGTTGTCACCGCTCTTTCCTCAGACACCAACGTAAGGCTGACAGCAATCTGAACACTTCCTGTTGATCATCTGAAGCACGACAGGGACTGAAGGCAGGGCAGGGATCAGGAAAATAAAGGTTTATAATTTGCACAAATCTTACCCTGCTGGCTGGAATTTCATTGGTGGTGGTGGTTTGGTGCTGACACTGAGCAATTCTGTGAATGCATTTTATTTATTTATAGAGTTGTCATACAGGGCAAAATGTGAAAAAATTGCAGTCTTTGCAATGAGTTACTCAGAGTTCTAGACGAGCGCTGGCTAAAACAGAGGAGGCCTAGATGGCGCAAGATTGCCAGCTTTTTCTGCAAGGTTGGGATGGGCGGAGAGGGCTGCCTCTGCAGGACGACAACTAGATTCTTCTTTGTCATTCTTTGACAACGACACAGCGAGCTGAAGCACTCCTGTCTTTCAGCTTACTGTACCTCATAATTCAACCGTGAGTTAAATCAAACCAGTCGTCGTCTGATTTTTGTTATGTTTAAAAACTATAGTGTCACCGTCTGCCTGAGAAATATTCTGCTACAAGTGGGCTTTGGTATTGTTTTTCTCTCCTTTTCTCTCCCTCTATCGCCTGGGCGGAGGCCATTGTGGGCTCCCGCCTTTGGCCTACATACTGGGAGATGGTGAACACCTGCGTCTCATTAACCGGCCTCTACTTACGGGAAGAAGTTAGACTGCTCTTTGCTGTATTGTTGCTTGACTCATGTTAGTGAAGTCCTGGCTAGGACACTAGTAATCTAGTTCTCTTGGATTTTGAATCTTGTGCTAACACGTCGTTTCCCTGTGTACAGACACCCTGGACCTGCCTTGTTCCTTACAGAAATTCTGGTACGAGAGAGGAGTGAGAGACTGGTGAGACGCCAAGAGAGACAGAAGGAGAGTGAGTGTGTTCCCCCTGCTTTTCCCTGCAGATTCCCTGGAGACCTGATCCCTGCACCCTTGTCTATAGCACTTTGACACTGTCGCACATTTAACTTGGTCTAACACAGGGCCATATAGGTTTTTCCCCTCTTAATAATAAACAACTTCATTAGGAATTGCATTTTGTGTTCATTTGTGTC